GGAAAGTATGAACACATCTCTAGTCTGGTGCAGCTTGCCGAGAAATGCAAGTTACAGGAGAAAGCCTGCCTGTGGGCTGCTGCTTATAAATAGCAGGCATCTGATTCATGCCCTCGAGGGGGGACTTCCATTGTGATTTTTTGCATGTGTGTGAAGGCAGCTAGTGTGTACCGGACAGGACAGCTCAGCTCTTGTGAGCTGGCAAGTAGTGACCGAAGGAGGAAAGGTGCCCAGCAAATAGCCGTTCTCCTGAATGTGCTCCTTGAGAAGTTGGGGTGTTTTCTATAGCAGTAAACCTCATGCTTGGTTTGGGATGCTGGGCTGGCTGGAGGATTGCAGAGGAAGCTGATAAAGTTCCGGGGTGTCACAGAGCATCAGGGCTGCCCACAGGTAGTTGGTGACATCTCATCCTCTAAGATGACATGCTCTTCCTCCTCCTTATTTTTTGATGGTGGTAGTCATTTTGTGAAATGATGGGCCTATAGAAAATTTGGGCAGATTATGGGATGTCGATATTCATCAGGTAGGAAAATAATATCATTAGAAGAGAGATAATAGTGTCTGCTGAGTAGGTTACCGAATTTACAACATTTTATTTAATTCCCTTGGTAACACAGTTATGTAAGTGGCATCAGCCCAAGTTAAATGCATGGAAATGGAGGTTCAGGGAAATGAAGGGATGGGCCCAGAGTCTAACCAGTAAGTGGTGTGTTCAGTCTACCCAACTTGAGCTTGATGGCCCATGATCAGCTGCTTCATCTTTTCCTCCCGTGAGGAAAGCACGCTGTGGGTTGCATTGAGAAGAAAGCCTGATTATCCTAGGAGACCAGGGAGCCTTTGCCGTGCAGCCTGGGGTGTGCCTCCCACTTCTACAGGGAGCAGTGGGAGCTCAGAGGCCAGCCACTCTGGCAATTCTGTTGAGAGGTTACATATCGTAGTTCAGCACCAGGCCTGCATTACAGAGGGGATTAAAACGCCACTTGTCAACACTCTGTGAGCCTTTCAATTTTCAGGGTGAGCAAAAAGTCCTCGTTCATTCCTCTGGGATGGCTGTCATCCAGCTGTCATCTGGGCCCTTAGAGTGCATGTGTTTGTGCCGTTCACCTGGTCATATGTTTCACAGTGACATCTGGTGCTCTCTCCATCCTTCTCTGGTCCCTGGTTCAATTTAGATGGATATATTATTGGGTTTCTTGTGCTTAACATCTAAATAAGCCAAATACATCTTGATGATTTGATACTTCAGGACCACCATTGTAGGGATATTTTGAAGCCAGTTCAATGAAAATACCCAATGATTTCTAGACTCTATTGGTTTGGTGATAAATTCCTCACCAACCTGTTCACACAAAAAATGTGTCCTACAGTATCCTAGCTCTGCTGCCTTTGAGCAGAGATCTTGTGAGAGCTTCATGGTCCCATCTTGGTTGGGCACACCCAGGTGCAGGATCCCAAAAGTCGGTTCAAGGACAACATCATGTTCCTGATGATATTTTCACCAGATCTTTTCAACAAATGAATGAACAAACAAATGAATAAATATAATAAGTCAGTTTTTAAAAATGAATCCATTTAAAGAAATGGTCTTTATTCTAAGTTGATGTTCCTCATGACTGTGTGTATATGTGTTAGAAATGTCTTTTCCATGAATTGATGGAAATTATAGGTGGTTCATGTTTATTTTCAATAGCCTATTTTGCCCTACCTTGTTAGCAAATGGTCAGTTCCTTATTAATTTCTAAATTTACCAAGAAAAAAAAATCCTACTGTTCTCTGAAGTCCTAAATCTGGGGACCAGTAATGCTGAATATGTTATTTATTATCTTCACCATCCTACATCCACATCCCCAAAATCCCATCAGTGAAGAGATTATAAAAAGGGGTAAAGCAGTCCTAACCGGTTTGGCTCAGTGGATAGAGCGCCAGCCTGCGGACTGAAGGATCCCAGGTTCGATTCCAGTCAATGGCATGTACCTTGGTTGCGGGCACATCCCCAGTAGGAGGTGTGTCCTTTGTCCTTAGAAAGGAGAAAGGGACTCCGAATGCCATGAACACTATGGGCTGTGATGCTGCTACTTGCACCGGAGATGGACACCACCTTGATGGACGTGGAAAGACCGGAGCAGCACAAGTGCTTAGGTAAGAGGAAAGACAAATTAATGAACTTGTCAAGTCACTTTCTTTAATAGTGTGAATGTGACGGGGTCTCGTGATAAGTATCATTTCCCAGCTGTATTGAGCATCCACTCTTTTATTTCTCTTTATGGTTCCAGAGGTATTTACAGATTAGCACAGAGCACTAGCACATGGAATCTTAAAAACGTTTTCTGAAATGATCCAAATGACTGCTAAATCTGTATGGTTGCAGATCTAGATATGATGTGAGAAGTATTTTTCTTTACATTATTATATGGCTCTACATACTACATTAAAAGATGGTGGAAATCATAATGATAATTTACATATTGAAATTAAAATACTTTGTATCTTTTTGTGTTGACAGTAACCTATTACATGCAACTCAAATACAATGTTTGAACATGACATATAAAGGAATTTGATTATCAACTTCAGTTGCTACTACTTTAGTAGAATAAATGTTCTCCAGATAGAAATTAATAATAAAAAATTACCTGAGAACTGTAATATTTCAAGAAAATGTCTCTTTTAGCATTACTGTCAATAGAATATAAAATGTGTGGGAGAGTTGATGGTGGCATAATTAGTGTTTTGCTGAAACAAAGGCAAGAAAAAAATTTATGGAATGTATCTGTGAATTAATGAGCTATTTTATTACTTATCAAACATTACTAGCCCATCATGTAAACACCCAGACATGCCCGATATAATTAAATCCAGTCATCTTTGAGAGTTTGTTGACTTTCAGTCTATAAAAACCATAGCTTTAAACAATGTTGTTCTTTCTACCTTTGTGACTATTCATTTGTCAAGGAATGAGACAGAATATATGATTGAACAGCTTGTTAACTTATTTTACAATTATCTAGGTCTATGGTGGGTGGGCCGCTATTTGAACTCTTGCCATATTTTGACTTCTTTCCCCTCATTCTCTGTTGTTTACCTTTCTCTTCTCTTTGTTATGGCTGTATTTCTCCTTCTTCTCTTCTCTGTCCTTATAACTCTGACTGCAAACTCTCAACTGCTTAATAAATGGAATATTTCCTTATCCTTTCACCCCTGAGTCTCTACCTCTTCTAGACAGCAAGAAAGTGCAATCTTAGCCACTACGAAGGAGAACATGAGGACAGAATTCTCTTCTTTCTCTTTCTCTGGGGACATCGAGCAAAAATCAGAAGAAAGCCCTCTCACTTTAGGATGTCAGACTGACCACTGAAACCGTGTGTTCCAGGCTACGGGACTCACTGAAGGCGGGAGGCCCTTGCGGAGCTGGGACCTCTCAGCACTGCTGCTGGGGCCCAGTGCTATTTCCTTCTGGGGTCCTGCCACCCTCCGTGGTGCTAGGAAGCTGCGTGTGAGTCACCCTGTTTGAGGGGTGTGCCAGCCTGAACCCCTTTCCAGTCTGGGGAAATAGCTCTTCTTCCTTTACAATCCTCACATTCCCCCTCCCTCCCATCCCCAGGATGGTTCTTTCAAGAACCCTACCTTCTGGCAAAACAAGCCTGAGAGTCAAATCACCTAAAGGCAATTTCTGCCTTTATGGATCACAGACTCCTCTAAAGCGAGGAAGTAAATACAAAGGCCTGGCTTTCTGCTTAAAAAGGGGGTGGGGGAGGGGAGAGAAACATAGGAAGAGCAAAACAAATCAATATTTTAAAAATTCCTCTCCCACATTTGGACTTTGGGGCATGATGGTAAGAGGTCAATGTCCTACATAATCTGGAGACCTGAGCAGGGCTGGGAAATAAAAGCAGGGCCCAGCTGATTACGATTGATTTTAGGTTTTAAGGGAAATTTCAGATTTTGGTCTAGGCCAGTGGTCGGCAAACTCATTAGTCAACAGAGCCAAATATCAACAGTACAACGATTGAAATTTCTTTTGAGAGCCAAATTTTTTAAACTTAAACTATATAGGTAGGTACATTGTTATTAACTTAATGAGGGTACTCCTAAGGCTTAGGAAGAGCCACACTCAAGGGGCCAAAGAGCCGCATGTGGCTTGCGAGCCGCATGTGGCTTGCGAGCCGCATGTGGCTTGCGAGCCGCAGTTTGCCGACCACGGGTCTAGGCTACACTTTGGGTCACTGGAAAAGGGGTGCAGATAGACTCAAGGTTATCCTTCCGGCCAGGAATGAAGTCAGTGCATTTGGCTGGTGCATTCCCAGAGGTGTATCTCATGGAAATGAGTGTTTTCTCCAAGCTCCAGGCTTGCCCCGCCACCCCACCCCCAATGCTGCCTGCTGTGCCATGTATATTTAACATATAGACAAAAAACGCAACATGTTCAAAAGTGACTTCCTTCTTTACTTTATATGCTCCCTTACTCAACAAATATTTGTTGAGGGTTTTCCAATTGCCAGGCATTGTGCTAAGTGCTAGGTGGACCCTGGTGCATAAAATAGATATGATTTTGCCCTATGGAACTTACAATCTAATAAAGGAGATATTCAATAAACAAGAAAACAAATAAATATGAGTTGAAAATTGTCTAAAAGAGTGAACATAGAAAATGACCAGGAAGTTAAAACCAAGATGTTGTATGAAGAACTGAAGGAATTAGGAAGGTTTTTGCCTCTCCATAGAAGGCTCAGGAGAACTTTTTAACTGCACATAAAATTTACAGGATGATATAAAAGTACTTTCACTAATTGTTGAGTTAGCATCAAAAGCTAGAAACATTAGGGAGGTCCATGTTAGATTGACAGGATGAAGAATTTCTTGAGCTATGAAAGAATGGAATAGCTGATTGGGGGGTGGAGTCAGGTCAGGAGTTCTCTTGATTAAAAACAGCCACATTACTGTTCAGTAGTAAAGAGGAGTAAATACACAAAAACATGGATGAATCTCAAAAACATTATGCAATCTACAGCCATACCATCCTGAATGCGCCAGATCTCGTCTGATCTCGGAAGCTAAGCAGGGTTGGGCCTGGTTAGTACTCGGATGGGAGACCGCCTGGGAATTCTGGGTGCTGTAGGCTGCAAAAACAAAAACAAACAAACAAAGAAGGCAAAAAACATCATGTAGAGTTAAAGAAACTTACACCAAGGACTACATATTATATGATTTCATTTACTTGAAATTGTAGAATCTGTTATCACTGCTATGCATTTTAGATATAGTACTTCTAATATTCCTGAGGATAATAGATGGAGGACATTATATTTTTCTGTTGTATATTTGTAAATTGTAAATCAGAAATTTTCTTGAGGCTAAGAAAAGTTAGATAACGTGTCCAAAACTGTATGATGGAGTGGCAGGACTGTCTGTTTTCAAAGTGTGCACCTGTGCCATCCAATACGGTAGCCACTAGCACTGTGTGGCTCCCAAGCACTTGAAATAGGGTGAGTGCAACTGAGAAACTAAATTTATAATTTTTTAACTTAAATTTAAAAAATTCATATGAATTTAGTTATTGGAAAACTCCATTTAGTTATGGAAAAAAGTTTAAGTGTATCTGTAACAATTTGTTAAATGAATCTACTTTTTCAATTGAAGATTTTATGAAATCTAAAATACTCATCAAGTATCCCCAATGGAAATTTAGCATCCCAACTGGAATGTGCTGTTACTTAAAATAGACATGTTTCAAAGACTTATTGTGAAACAAAGAATATGAAATATCTTATTAAGAAATTTTATATTAATGACATGTTTAAATGATAATATTTGGGTGGATTGGCTTAAAATTTTAAATATTAAAAGTAGTTTCAGCCCTTTTTTACTTTTAAAAAATTTCAGTGTTACATATGTGACTCATATTCCTACTGGGCAGAGTCAATCTATGCTATTTCCGGTGTACTCCGGCATGGCTAATATTCATATTTAAGCTAGGGGATGCAAGTTACTGGGAGTGGGGTGGGGGCACACTAAATCACTAAGACTCTTTGTAACTGTGAGATTCTAGGAAATTTTATGTAATACTTACTATATACCAGGAGCTACTTTCAAGTCTTGACATTCATTAATTCATTTCAGCCTTACCAAAACTCTATGAGGTAAGTACTATCACTATTCCCATTTTGCAGACCAGAAAACTGAGGTGCAGAGACCCAAACAGATATTTAGTAGTACCGAATTCAGTTGGGATATACTCAGAATTTAAAACATAGTCCTTCAGAACTTTCTTCAGATGGCTTTATTTAGAGATTTGGTTTCAGTCTCTCAGATTCCTGAGAACATTTTCCTCCTTTGAGAGGACTGGCCCCTTTCTCACGTACAAGCAGCTCACTGAATTGTGCCTCCCTTCCCAGAACCTAGAGCATTTATTCAAACATGTGGATCAGACTAGATAATTGGCCAGTGGGAGTACACTGTAACTGAGCAAATGGATGATTAGAGGAGTCCCATTGGGGAACTGATCATTTTCTTGCGGTAGAAAGGGTAATTTCGTCTCTCTAAAAGCCTGCCACGCCCTGTGAGAACTGACTTAGTGATGGAGTTGCGCCTGCATTTCTACGGCAGTGCTGCCGATGGAAACCTTGAAGAGGCCCAGGAGCTGCTGGGTTGTTCTCTCCCGATATTCGCAGGAGGAGAGAAGGTGACCACTGTTTTCAGAGGCTGTTAATCTCCTAAGTGCTCGGCTTTGTTCATTTGGAAGAGAACTTGAATTGGCTGGTCTTCTAGGAACTGCAACAAAGAAACTCAGAGGAGTCATTAAAGGTGATTTGAGCAGTTTGGATGGTCTAGACCAGCGGTTCTCAACCTGTGGGTCGCGACCCCTTTGGGGGTCGAACGATCCTTTCACAGGGGTCGCCTAAGACCATTGGAAAACACATACATAATTACATATTGTTTTTGTGATTAATCACTATGCTTTAATTATGTTCAATTTGTAACAATGAAAATACATCCTGCATATCAGATATTTACATTATGATTCATAACAGAAGCAAAATTACAGTTATGAAGTAGCAACGAAAATAATTTTATGGTTGGGAGTCACCACAACATGAGGAACTGTATTAAAGGGTCGCGGCATCAGGAAGGTTGAGAACCACTGGTCTAGACTTTACCCTCTTTCATGAATATGTCTTAAAAGTTCTGGTCAGTCCAGATGCCGGCTATAATCCATGTCTATTTCCAGAAGGCATTGCCTGCTGTGGTCTTGAGACCCAGCGTGCTGCATGCTGTGAACACATTGGCAAATCTTTCCAACAGTGGAAGAGGAAGCTCAGAATGTCACTGTAGGCCAGTTCCGAGAGGGTGGAGGGTGGTAACATGGAGAGGTCTTAAAAAGCAGGACCCTCTGCCGAAACCGGTTTGGCTCAGTGGATAGAGCATCAGCCTGCAGACTGAAAGGTCCCGGGTTCGATTCCGGTCAAGGGCATGTACCTGGGTTGTGGGCACTTCCCCAGTGGGGGATGTACAGGAGGCAGCTGATTGATGTTTCTTTCTAACTCTCTCTCTTCCGCTCTGTAAAAAGTCAATAAAATATGTTTAAAAAAAAAAAAAAGCAGAACCCTCTGAGGTGGACAAATGACAACTTCCACGTTGTCCTAAAAGTACAGGAGGCGCCAAATATAAAAATCTGAAAGGTGTTATATTTGGGACCACTAAATTAAAATATCCAGGTTTGTCAGTCATCGGTGACAAATGGGGAGAACCTAGTGTCTTGTGTGAGTTAGCTCAGTGCCACTTAACGTGTAATTCTGACCAACAGCAACAGCCTCACCTGGGATTTTGTTTGAAATGCACCTTCAAGCCTCACTTCAAATCTACTGAATCTAAATCTCTGGGATGGTGATTGAGAATCTGCTTTTAAACACTACCCCTAGACTATCTATGGTGAAGGGCAAGGATTTAAAATTTTTTTTAAATTAACAATTTATTTTTATTTTTATAAATTTGTCACTAACCCATTCTTTTGTAAAATGTCCTATTCAGGGAGAGAAATCCACTCCTTGGGTGGTTGCTATAAAAGTTTTAAACACTTACTCTCCACTTGCTTTCCGTCCTTACTGAAGACTGGTAAAAAGGGTTCATGGGCTGACGCCAGTCCGCAGACCACACTCAAGCCTTCATCGGAGACATGTACACTGGCCGCCTCCCTCCACAATGACCCTGTCACTGCCTGGAACGCACGGGTCTTTGTCAGAAAACACCAGAGAGCCTCCCAGAGAATAAAAACATGGGGATGAGAATTAATTAGAAAGCACCCTTCCATCTAGATTTGTCAGACGGTTACTAAATCCACTTCAGAATAACCCTTTTCAGCTAAAATAAATCAGGCAAAATTTTAGTCATGGATGGGTCGTCTCATGTTATTGCATTAAGATGTTAAATTACAAAGATTTGCTTTTCATGTATTACTGTTGTGGTTCATAAAGCTCCCAATTGTCATGAGTATGTAGATATTATGGAGCAAAGTAAATTTATTTTCACGTCTCTCTTCCAAATAGAACTGAGTTTCTAATTTTCTGCTAAAAGGCTGTGCTCGGGAATTTGGCAGGTCCGTTGACATTTGGAGTCCATCAAATTCTAATTGATGAAGAAACACAGGGAGAATGCTTCTCTCCTGGACTTAAATTATAGAGTTGTCTTTGTCCCATGAGATTGAGGTGTTATAAAAATTTTGCTTTAATGTGTACTCCATTTGGTTGTCATCATCCCATAGCCACATTTCTTAAAATCTCGTTAAAATACATTAAGGCTTATTACATCTCTTGTTTATATTAGGGACTCAGTAATAGAAGGTGTCAATGATGTAAACATTACACAAAAGTAAAGGCCTCAGAGATGAAAACAGTGCTTAATGGAGCTGCTTTGTTAGTGGGAAATAAATTCTGATATTATCCAGAACCGGTTCTTACTCTGAGATGCTCCCCACTTACAAAGAGTGTCAAACAGCCTTTTAGCAACCTTCGAAAAAACCCAGGATTGTTTACACGAAAGTGTTTCAAACCCTTCATCTGCTGTAAATTGTGTACAGTCAAATGGGTGCATTAGGATTCATACTAAATCTCTTTATCTGGTAAGATAAAAGAAGTGTTTATAATGTCCCTGAAATGTACTTGCTTTTCCCATGACTTCAGATAATAACATTAACCCCCTAAAAGGAGCCAGTTAAGAAACAGCTGTTGAACCTACACCACAAACAGTAGCATAAGCCCTTTGGTATTTCCTAAGGCCCAACAATGAATAATTGTGCCTTTTCCAATGATTTGACCTCCGTTATGAAAAGGGGCCTGGCTTGTGAAGTTTACCCAGTTTGAAAGAATATTTCTGACACGTCGCTTTGGGTTCTCATCTTGGTTTCTTGAATCCACGTGTGATGAAAGCATGTCCTGATGGAAATGCAAATTAAAATGACAGTAAGATCTCATTTTACACCCACCAGAGTGGGGGGGGGGGGTGGGGAAGCCTCACTATGTTGGTGAGGACACACACAATACAGAAAGAACCCTCATACACGCTGGTGTCATTGTGCATTGGTGTGTTCACTTTGGAAACCATTTCATCTTATGTAGTAAAGCAGAGCGTTTAAATACTCTACAACACAGCATTTCCCTTCCTCGGTGTATCCCCTATGGAGATTCTTGCATATGTACACTAGGAAATACACAAGAATATTCCTGTCAGTGTAGTTCCTAATAGCAAAAATTTCCAACTGAAAACTAAAATGGCCACCTAATAGAAGAGATACATTCATATTGTGATATTCATTCATGCAACTGCTGCAAAAGTGAGTAAAATATAGCTTCATGCATCAAGGTGGATGAATCTTAAAAACATAATGCTAGAGAAGATAGCGATTCTAGAAGATAGGATTCCTTTTGAATAAATTTAGTGTAAAATGGTTAAGAAAAGCAAGCGCCCATGAGGTAGGTGTGATGGCCTTGAGTGGGCTTAGTCTTCCTTATAGAAGGGGAAGACCAAGCTGTGCTTGATTCAGGACACAGTGACATTGGGGAAACTAGAATGGCTGGTGGCCTCTCAAGAAGTTAGTTGCACATCAGCTGAAGCATTTGAAGTACTGGC